ACCTCCTAAACTGCTAGCATCAGTGAGAAATTTTACTGAAAATATCCCTCAGCAAGAAATGATACATAGTAATGAGTGAAGAAGGAACATGTTTGAACTAACAAAACCACTCTGACATGCTCTCTGCGGGGATTTTTTTTGTTTGTTTTGTTTTGTTTCTTTTTTATTGTATTTCGTTTTCTGTCTGCTTACAAATGTTTGACTGACAGGCGTGGAGGCTGGCATCTATCACTCCTCTTCAAAACAGACAGGGAATGAACATCAACATTTCTCAACAATGACCCAGAGGGAACAACATTTCCTAAAAATAAATGCATTTCCCTCACACCTGTTGACACACCCCATCCAACTCTCCTTCTCTTTTGCCAAGAGAAACATCAACTAAAATGAAGCTCTGTTGACGCGTTTTGCTTTCTTAGGATATCCTCAAGCTATGATTCGAAACTGGATGAAGGTATTCTCGCCATATATACACTCACTGGCCAAAATTTAGCAAAGCATCACCAAACCATAGCGGCTCTCATGCTGCATGAGCATATATTACTGGAGAAAACTGTCCATCGTTTCACGTCAGCCAAGATAATGCCTAAGTTCTGCATAAATACAAAAAGAAAGACATGGAAACTTGTGGAAATACCCCAGGGAGCAGGGGGGATCCTTCTTGTACTTACTGTGTCTTCAGGCCGAAATGAGGAAGGAACATGACAAACAACTCGTTGTCCCGACTCCCTCTGATATGTAGGATGAAGTTTTCAGCCTTGTTTTATAGGTCAGCGACTTAAGATCTCTATGATCAGTGCTCAGGGCACATTAGGATTTGATGGCAGAGTTGACACATGAACTAATTTCTCCAAACGCTTTCCTAGCACCACTCTCCACAGCTGCACGGGTTATCTGCATCTGAGGGTCTCCAGTTTGCACGTCTGACCATCCAGCAGTGATTAATCATTAAACTGTGTTTCAGCTAGACTTACCTTGTCATTTGATCTGAATAACTGACTTCCTGACTGCTAAGTAATTTGGTAACTGCAATTATCTGTGTAAACTGACGGGCATCTGCTGGTTTTCAGGTCTGAGGGGTGATGTGGTTAGTCCTGGCAGTGTCGGGTTTCGGAGCTGACAAAATGGGCAGCTGCCTATCTCCGTGGACTGAGCTCTGATTGCTGCTGCTCCTCCTGTGAGGGCAGAGAGAAAAAGGGGTTGTAGGGTAGTCAGGATAGATGAAGTGAACCTTGCTATTTCAGGGACAACTGTCCCCTGTACGAGCCCTGCTCTCCAAATCTGCCCTTTCCCTGGTATACTCTGTCTTTGCTATTCCCCGCTCTCCATGGCAGGAGAATGCCCACTGCTGTGTTACCAGCCAGCGAAGCACAGCAGTGGGATGGAAGGCTGCTCTAAGAAAGGAAAAAGGGTTGTGGAAGAGGTGAGATAACCTGGTGGGGATGCCAAGGAAACGGTGGTGGGGTCCGGTCTCATCATCCTTTCTCATCACCTCTGGAGAAGCAGTCTGCATGCGGACGATCACTTGGGGCTTTCTGAATCAATATGGCATTTAGCATCTTTTTTTATAGGTCTTTCCAGTCCCAAGATGAAATTCTGAAGTTCTCCATTCAATGGTTATCCATTTCTTCTCAAAGTTTTATCTCCTTCCATTTTTCACATGACCACAGGTACCATTGAAAGGCACGGGATGCTAAATTATATATATTTGCTATGACAGAGTTTGTGCCAGCACTGAGTACTGACAATGTACATTACAGTTCAGCTCATGTATTTCTGATGGCACATTTTATAGTGCTATATATAAAGTTGTTATGGCATCTATTATTCACTGCCAATACAGTTCAAGTTAAAATAGGTTTTATATAACAGTTCAAAGCAATATTTTAAGAAATAACACTTGTGTCAAGGCTGCTGTGTCCTACCAGATTTTGACATTTCCAAGCAATAAAGATCTTTATCCAAAATGTAAGGTTTTGGCGAGACATCTCCCTTGCAGACTTCTCTATTTTTAATCTGCAAGCAATAGCAAAAGAAGCACATTTAAATAAAATGAACAGCCAGCTGAACTTTTGACATGGCTGTTACCTTTCTAGGTGGAAACTGTGAATGCTGAAAAGTGCCTCAAGGGAGGTTCATGACAAAGAACAATGTCCCATTAACCTGAACATCTGAAGAGATTCTGGAGATGTGGAAAACACACAAGTGGGAAAGAGTCATTGGAACATTAAGAAGATGTCTATTATGGGCACAATTTTATATCTGTTTTTCAGGACACAAAGCGGGAAGAGAATTTATTTCCTCATTTCTTTAGCAATGAAAAAGGTTTTATATCTGTTCTGGCAAAGAGGGCAAATCCAATGCCTCTTAAAAAAAAAAAAAAAAAAGGCCTATTACTGGTACCAGCACCATGAGCTTCTCCGCTGTTGTGTGCTAATCGGTGTAGCCCAGAGGACATCATGTTCTAGCAATGCTCTGTGACCTCTTCTGTGCTGATTAAGATCTACATGTTCCTGGTGCTATAGATGCAGAAACATAAAAATCCCAGCAAGACCAATCTACTTGAATAAGATATGTTTTGCACAGCTCTATTCTTCTTTCTGGTCCCCAAAGAGCAAATGAGAACAAATGCTATACATCAATTTGGCAATAAATTTGGTTTTAGTTGTGTCTGACGGTTAGGAATAATGCTTCCTTTTAACCTTCTTGGTTACTTATTGGCTTTGAAAACATATTGGAAAAAAAGTTGTAAGGGTGACTATGAGCTCAGTGAGTCCCTTCTCTGCATACCCACCACTTCTAATGAAATCAAGGAAGTTTTAATGTGCAAGATGAGTCATTTCACAAGAAATACGTTCACGTGGGTCAACAAACAGAAAAACAAAACCCAGTGAAAATGATTTAAAAGTACCATCTGTTTATTCAAATACAGCTGGGGAGAGGTATGACGGAGTCCAAACATCCATTTCACTTTCATTATACTTCTTTCAAAAGAGATGTTAAATAAAATACTATTGGTCCTAAATGTTTTCCTCCTGAGGAGAAACGTTTAAGCTACATTTTAAATAATGCTTATGGAATGCAGTCGTCCTTACAGGATGAACGTGGATCTCGGATAGCAACGCAAAATGGATGCAGGAGAAATGGGGAAAAAGGCAAAAAGAAAGTGCACGTTGTTAAGAAGCAGAAGGCTGAATGATATTAACTGCTTAGGTTGAGTAAGTTATTAACTGCTTTATTCAGAGGTAAATGCATATTAGGCAGAAAGGCAGACAGGATCCACCAAAGCAATAGATACACGACCTACACAATGCATGAGCACTGCATTTATTTAGAAGTTATGTAAGTCCAGGACTAGGTTCACTTCACTCACTTGAAGTACCCCACCGTGACCACGTGACCCAGTGCTGCCAATGCAGAGATATCAGATTGTGGCACAGAAATGGGATTTCGAGAGAAAAATAAGGTTCTCTCCAAGGAGGTACGACTGCACCTCTTGATTTTTCAAAGTTGGTGTGCTTGAGCCTGGTTTGGGGCTTGTCATTCTCCACTGCCTAATGGGCAAATATTAAATGTGTTTCTTTTCTGAGGAGGACAGGGAGCAACATAAAGATGGAAGAAACGTGACTATATTTCAAACAGAAGGACCATGGTCCACAACATCATTTCAGAAATACCTTGGCTACTATCCTTCTTGAACATCAAAGTGCTGGTACATCCCAAAACATTAATTTTTCTTTCACCAAAGTTCCCCCTAGAGTTTGTCCTGGTGGATGCAAAGAGATTTCTCAAGAATGAAAGGACAATTAACACCCAAGGATACTCAGTGTGAGAATATTCTTTCACATTTCCATCCCTAGTAATCCATATGCAAGTCCACAAAGCTCAATCATCTCTACTCAGCAAATTTCTGCATTCTCAATTTCTGTTATGACAGAAGTTAGACATACACTAACCTCAACTCACTCCTGTACAACCATCAAAAATTTCTTGCAGTATTGAATCATATGAGGCTGTCGCTGCTTGCAGAGGTCAAAGCCTCAAAGCGCCAGTCTACAGCAGGAACGTTTGTCCCCTTTTTGCACTGTTAACTCAATCACAACTCCTGCCACACTGCAGCCAAAATCCATTCTGATAAAATTAGCTCAATCTAATTAAAGGACAAAGTATAGTCCTTAATTAAATGTTCTGATTATTCTGAAGCCCTCTTTGTTTTGGTTCATCTTGAGTTTAGGCCTGTAAAAGCATACAAATTAGAAAGATTTAAAATGTTCTGGGTTTTACTCATTTATTGGTTAAATTTGAGTAACAAGAATTTCCCCAAAGCATAAAAAGAGAAGTATAAAAAGAAAAATGTGGGACGTTTAACTTATTCAGACCTCTTTTTGTTCCTTTTTTTCATATTTTATTTATAGCACTTCTAAAAAAGAGGGAATAAAAATAGTATGTCTTCTTTTAACTACATTAAGAACATTCAAATACTTTGATAAAGCAAAAAATATTGAATTATTTGAAAAAGTTAACAAGTTATTTCCTTTTGTCGACCTATTATTCTCTTTAATGGTAAAGCTGAATATTTTCTGCCTGTGACAAATTCCGGTTTCGAGTTTGCGCGCACCAAGAAAGTTGTTTTGCTGCAGAACCAAGCTCAATTAAACTACTTCACTACAGACTCTCTTGTGGAAAACTCACTGAAAAAAAACCAAAACACCAAACAACAAAACAAAACAAAAAACAACAAAACCCCAAACAAAAAAAAAAACACATTAGCCCACAAACATTAATTAATTCTTGTCATTTTCATTACAGGTCATATGGATTTCTAATTCTTCCTTCTGCCACTGATTTCCATGTTTAGAAACACCTGATAATCTCTCCCATTTTTAGTGACGCTGTACTGGCAATATAAATCAGGGTTTCTTTCATCATGTTGAGCAACACACAACACAAGGAATCTGCGCCTCCAGCCCACAAGCCCATGACAGGAGAAGTTTACTGACCTCAATCTGCTGAATGGCCTCTTCCCGCTGACGGATGGCCTCCAGATCCTCTTCTGTGATTTCCGAGAGCAAGGCTTGATCCTGGCTCTGGTTCTGCCCCACACCATCTCCTCCATTAAAGATTTTCTCATCATCAGGTAGGTCAGAGAAGGGAGTCCTAGGGCTCTGCTGAGTGGGGAGAATGGAAAGAAAGCAAAGGCAATGTAAATCCTGTCCAGTTATACAGAGTCTTCTCCCCCGAAAACAAAATATTAATACAACGGATTTCAAAAACAGTAGAGAAAAGGTGAAGAGGAGAAGTTACATGAGAGGAAACATATCAAGTCTTGAAGAAAGTGTTAGGACCTGAAGCCAGATCTCCTGAGCTACACTTGAGCCCCAGCAACCAACTTCAATTTTACAACAGTTCTGACAGAAGAAAACATTTACATGCGTCCGAAAAATGACAGATTTACCATGTTGATTTTCCTGCAAATTCTCCTGGAATTAGATACTTTTTCAGGCAGACATAAAGCCTATGCATTTGTGTTGAAGACTTTATGATCCAACTTGCAACATTCAGCATAACAAAGGATGCTATTTTGTCAATTTAGGAGATTAAATACAGCTAAAAAAAAAAAAAAAAATAAAAGGAAAATCACTATAGCAATGGGACTGCAGTCATCAGTTTGAGCAACTCACAGTTTCATGGTGTTCACTCTGTAGAGTTGCCCTGATTTTGCTGAAACACTGGATACCATTTTCTAGGTAGCTAGATGTTCATACTGCCTTTGAGAGTTGTGCTTGTACTCAGATCCAGATTTTAAGAGCCTGTTCATGATCCAGCTACATCTACACTGCAAGTAGGGGCAGAGGTTTAACAAGCTCTTCTCCTCCCAGTCTTTAGCTTCTGTCCCTACAAAGACATTAGTTTCAGTCTAGACCGGACTCAGAGAATTAACTGACACAAGGTTGGTTTGGAGAATCAGGAGGCTGAGTTCAAGTTCTAAACTAATAGGTATTGCTGAAGACTCCAATCCTACAACTGCATGAGTATTTCACTTCATAGAATTCACATGGTCCTTTAAACTGGCCTTGAGCTGAACCTTGATACCTAACCAAAAGTTACAATTAAAAAAGCAATCCAGTGCTTCCAATGCTTTGAAGTTGAAAGAAGAAATGGCATTCGCTACAGCACATTCTTGACCTGAACGTCCTCAAAGTCTCTGAAAGCTACGGGAAAAAACAAGCACAAGAATTAAGGGAGATGATCAATTCTCTGAATCTGGTCTTACCTGAGGCACAAACATTGGGGATTCTCAATGAGTTACGCCTAAGAAATAAAGGGCTTTGCCGTCTTGCTCTGGCTAAATTTTCAAAGATATTAAATGCCCTGAATTCCCACAGAGTGAATAGGAAGCAAGGCCATCAGGCAGTTTGCTGAAAGAACTGGAAGAACTGGGAGGACTCGAGTGGAAGTTGCAGTGGAAACAATGCCACAAACCACGACAGCAAGAATGAGAAGTCTGACCGAGAATGTGTGAGGGAGGCAAGGGGATGAGGAAAAAAAAAAAACAAAACCCACTTAGAATGTATCTTACTTCTTGCTTGCTTAGAGCTCTGCCTTGGAGGCTAAATTTTGAAGAGCATCAGGGCTCTAGAAATGCTGATTTATCTCTTTAACTCTTCTCTCATTCTTTAAAAAGCGCATAATTTCTTCATATAGAAGCTAAAGAATTTTTTCAGTTGTCTAAACCTAGACTTTGCATTACACAATTATTTCATTGTTATTATCACCATCGTCTAGCTGCAGACAAGGAAAATTATACAATGTGCTGAAGGAAGTGGGGTGATGGAAGAAGTAGAGGCAAACAGAATAATCGGCAGCAAACAGTCAAGTGTCTTTCAAAAATATAAACAGAAGGTTAAAATCTTTGTCATTAACATCTTTGTTTCATTTTCTGCTTTCCTGGGATCTGTTATCTACGGAGAAAGAGCGTGTTACAGGAAGAAAATCATCATTTAAAATTAAGTTAAAAATTCATTTACACTTTAAAAGACACATTTTAATAGGATTAAGATACTCTAGGGGTGTTTTATTCGCTAATTATTACGTGCCTTGGACACTAACTTATCTGGTAGAGTGTTTCCGTGCCAAAAGCATGTATTAATGGATCCAAGAAAAAAAATCCTTGGGGTATCCTAATGTTTCATTTATAGTGACAGAGGTGTCCTCTCATCTTCACCAGAGGGCTATCTAGGACATGCAGAGGCCGTTATCCACAATGCCAAGTAGGCTGAAAGAGCCTTAGTGTCTGCCCTCTGAAGAGGGAAAACAGTGATTTAATGACATTTTTGTATTACGGTCGCAGCAAGGACACTTGTGCCGTGGACCTAAACGCGCATGAATGGACACTTAAAGCCACGCTTCGCTACACAGATCTGCGTTTCAGTGGAAGATAACAAATTTACAAAATTTGAAACATTTCCTGCTCTGTTCTGATGTGGGAGCACAGGGTTAACAGGAGAGACAGCAATACAGCAACCAGCTCCTCAAATTATATTTGTCCGTGTAATAGCACAGTTGTATCACAAATACTCTCGATCTTGGCCTGTGTCAACTTTATTAGTCATCCCCACTTGTTGGTCCTGGTATCTGTAAATACCAGGCCCTCCCCAAATAATCTGGATAGTGCAATTCTGCTCAGTCATCTCTCACAAAAGCTGGCTATTCATGTGTTTAAATAGATAATGGTCTAGACACAGATGTTTTTCTCTAAACAAAGTAGTGGCTTAAGTTAATTTCAGAGCTGCTGAAGGCAATTACGTGAATTTGTATCCTTAATATTTTCCAAGAAAATCCAACCACGGCTACTGAATGAGTGAGTAAATCAGGAAACAACAGGATGCAGGGGGACTGAAATTTCCTTCCAGACATAAAAATGGCTCCGTAGTAACATTAAATATAGTCACCATGACTTGCTATTGGGGCATGTACGGCGGCTGGCTGTGCTAACAAATTAAAAGTGATTTTTGTGTTTGTTGATGGTACGGAGCCCCTCGTTTCTGTGATAAACAAATCCTAGATTTGAAAGTGTGAAGAAATCTAATGACTTTTAATACTTCTGATTGAAAACTGCAGGTAGCTTGGTTTATCAGTGGTCTTCATTCCCTGTTGAGTTGTGCTTATTGCCATGTCTGACAAAATATTTTATTTATAGCCCGAAAAGATATGACGGAGGGCACTCGCTGAGCCTCCACAGATAAAGTTCCTTTTGACAACACACTGGAAGGGGCCATAACTCCCAATACAGGCATTTCCGCATTAAATTTGATTTAGTGCTAAATTTTATGCCCTGTGAATCTCTGTGTAATTTTCTGTTGGATTTCCTTTCATAAATTGTTAATTGGATGTGTTTGAAGTTGCTCTTTTGTTGAAATTTGCCTGTGGCAGATTTTTTTGTCAAGATGTATCTATAAACCAAAGTCTGCCTGTGAAAAAAATGATAGGAGAGAAAAAGTTGAGTATATCTGATATGTTCAGTAGTTCTTTTAAAATTAAATTCTTAGGACTGAGAGTCATACTATGCTGTTATTCATCATATCTGAAAAATTATGCCCAGGCACAACATTTTTTCTGTTGGATAAAATCTTTTCACTAGGATAAAATCATTGCTGCTTACAACTACATTTTTTTATCAGATTTATTCTACCAATGGAGAGATGCTATATGCAGCTGCTGATAGAGAAAAGGGAAAAAAAAAAAAAAAAAAAAAGTTTTATCTGGATGGTGACAACTTCTGCCAGTACCTGCACTTTACTGGCAGTAAAATCTTTGCATCAGATGCTGTGTGTCCGAGACCCCTCCAAAAATGACCCTCTCCCAGCTCTACACCTGCCTCACTCCCCATCTGTATGTTAGAAGGGCAGAAGAGGAGCGTTAACACACACAATTTCTTCTCCTTGTACACAGCAATATCACAAGTTTTACAACCCGTGTCACATAAAATTACCAAGCAAGGGAATGAAATGACCTCTCTTCTAGTTCCTATATGGTCTTTATTCCACCCAGAAGCAGAAATCTAACGTGTACCCTACCTACTACAACATCAACCAGACTTTGGAGTTCATCTTCAACGAGTCAGGGAATCTCCTGTAGCAGTAAGATGTGTGCTGGTACCGTCTCAGTTCTGTAGCTCCCTCTTACATCTCTAAATTTAATTATGTCCTTTCTGATTGCTCATTACAGGATTGATCCCTCATCAGAAACTAAGGACACGAAAATGTTGACTGGAGATGGATGAGAAATGGCTCTTACTGCCTGTGAAATGTTTAGTGATTTCAAAGGAAAATTTCTCTCCCACACCTCATCAAAACCTTGAAGATATAAAGAAAAATGATACGACAGAGAGGAAGAGGGAGACAAACATGCACTCCCTCCAGCTCAGGTTAGTTACAAGTCAGATAATTAAGGTGCCCAGTGACAGCTGCAATAAGATGGGCCTCTCAAAGTCTTTCCAAAAATAACTGTAGAAGTAGTTGTAAATAATTAAAATTTATTGCATCTGGATTTACAGACTGTCCACCAGATCAACGACACACTACAGGGAGAGGAGGATGAAGAGCTGAGGAAGACATTCACACTTCTACCTTCACCTTTGGCATGAAGGTAGTTGAAAAGGAGACTTAATTGAGCCCGAAATTAGACAATGTGAAGCCATTTCTACATCATCTCCATCCACTCCAACTTCAACCAGGAGAAGAGGGTTTCGTTTCTGACTGTGTGTGAAAAGATGGGAAGAGGATACTACTGGAGTATCTTAGGATAGTTATGACAGAGCTGCTGGTACCTTCAAAGTGGGGAAGGTGGGTCTCCTGAACTGACTGAAAATCTAACTCTGGAGAATAGAAGGAACACAGGTTTCTTATTTTCTGGCTACTCCTCCATTCACATGGACATTTCAAGCAGTTGGACATGTCCTCATCATCACTTGGCTGTAAGACACTTGAGGCTGCCTTTGATATGCACGGCACAGTTCATGAATTCACAGAATCCCAGAATCACTCAGGTTGGAAAAGCCCCTCAGGATCATCGAGTCCAACCCTCAGCCCGACTCTACAAAGTTCTCCCCTATCCCACATCCCCGAACATCTCATCTGAACGACCCTTAAACACACCCAGGGATGGG